CACCCTGGAGACCATTGCCAGATCCTCCTGTCTCAGGAAAACTAGGAAAATCATAGGTGAGCCCTTACACCCTTACACAGCATGTTTACCTGCTTCTCTGGTCAGCGCCTCAGGTCAATCAGGTCCCACACCTCCAGACCCAGTAACAGTTTCTTCCCCTGGGCCATTCAGACTGTTAACAAGCACCCACCTCATGAATCTGAGCCATGGTCTGTGTGACCTTCATCACTCAGGCCACTATTTGAAGCTATTTTGTTCTCCAATGTCTGTCTTTCTCTTATTTCCGAATATATTCCTCTTGATTGCATATATTTGTCCTCTTTTGCTGCTGTCTACTCTTTATATTTTATTCTGGCACCGTTGGTGTGGAGCACCCACAACTTCATTTTACACGTACAATGACAATAAAGGGCTATTCTATTCTATCGATTCTATTCTAAATAAAAATAAATAAATAAAAATGAATAATAGAAATTAAAAACTTCTGGAAATGGTCAGGTATGAGGATTGGACTAAACGTGAATTAAAAAGCAGTTATTGTCCAAAGAAAACTTTGAAAACCCTTCAGAAACTTTGAAAGACTATTCTCGACATCACTTTATTATTTTTTTTAAACTGGCTCATTGGAATCAAAATGGGGCGACTTGACACTTTTGCACAGGATTGTATATAAAGAATAGCTTTTAAAAAAGCAACCCTTCTCTATAACAAACAAAACCCAAGAGAGAACTCTGACTAATCCCGTTGTAAATGTCATTTAACATACAATTAGCACACAATTAAGTTATCTAATCAAAGTATTTTCGTCTGATTGAATTAAGGATTTTAAGAGCTCCAAACAAAAAAGGGGAAGCCTCGACTTCGTGAAACGCAGTGGTAGTTCACACAAACACTGCCCTTTCCGCTGTTTTCCTATTATCTAGTTAACTACAGCCATATGACATGCTTCACATGATGTGCGTGCAAATAAAACTGTGATTGGAGGAGACACTTCCTCGGCGCGATGTGATTGGTGGAAAGGGCAGGCACCGTTCTCCATGATTTAATCATTGTTTTGGGGGTTAAAGAAAGTCCGCAGAGCAATGTGTTTCTCTGAGGTTTGGCTTTAGTCTGCCAGCTGTTCTCATTGTCTCTCTGAGAATACAGAAGAAAAAAAATGCAGCTTTGGTACATTGCAGCTATTTTTTTGTGCGATGTCGCTGGTAAGGAACTACATTTCATATTTGATTTTTGTTTTTTTTAGGTTAGCTGTTTACAGTCAGCCAGCGTTACATGCTGTGGAGGTAGCTAGCACTCGGGGGTCTTGTTACGCAGCCGTTACGTGCAAATAAACATGTTAATAAACGTACATTAGCATTCAGTTTGCTAAATAAGAGGCTATCTTTGTGTGTAAGTAGCTATACAGTAGAGCAGGAATACATACGATAATTTTTAACTTTCACATTAAAGTCTTCCTGTTTTAGCTTGAGAGAAGTGCTAATTTATGAGCGCCACTAACCACTCTTTAATTCTTTACTTTATTATTTACCAAAGCTTAACCTGTTCCTTTTATGATAAATTGGGCTTTAAAACTTAAAAAAGGAAGGTTGGGGTATGAGAGGTTTATCTAATTTTATAACTTATATTGCCAAAATTGCTACAGACGTCTGTTTTATCCTCTGCTCCGTGTGTGAGAAGTTAACAAGGCTTCTGTAAATGACCAGTGTTTGTGGCGTCCATGTAACCAGTTATAGCAAATATCCAGGGATAGTTGTCACTATTTCTTGCTTTGCTATTTGCTGCTTGTTGCACCCGCACACAGCTCTGTAGTTATATTACTAATATGTGTTGTCACCTCTGCTTCATTGTCAGGTACAGAGGCAAAAGCAGTACATAGCCTTCCTGATTTTGGAAAGAGCTATCATGTCAAAGGTAAGCTGTGAACTAACAGAAGGTTACACAGTATGTTTTGGGCCTTGTTGGAAGTTATGTTTCATTCAGTATTTACATTTCAGGAATCATCTCTCTGCCCTATGCTGAAATTGAGGAACCATTTGAGGCCTGGTTAGACCTGACAGCAAAGTCAAGCCGGATAGACTACTACCACGGTGAGAAACCCCCTTCAGCTGATTCTCCTGAAGCAGATTCTGTATTCCCCTGCTTGGCTAATCAGTAATTTGAAATTGAGTGCCTGTTGTGTAAGAGAAACGATACCAGACTGTAACATTATCGCAAAAAAAGAAGTGAAAAAAGACAGAGTAAGCACGAGTGATGAACATAATCTGATGACTCGTGTTGCATGTGACTTTGTACCAAAATTGTGTTTTTATATGCTTACAGTGCTGATAACAGCTGGTGCAAACTTACCCACAAATACTCCTCTTTATTTAGTTTTTCTTCCATCAGACAAATCATCATCTTGACTTGTACATAACTGGAGTCTGTTAGGAAAAATTAAGAATGAACACATTCAAAGTAGTAATGAAATAATAATAATAAAATTGAATCCTGATATAATGCATTTCTACTGACTGGTGTATATGCCAAAAAGCCCTGACTATAGCTAATAAAGGTTTGTCTGAGCCACACATAGCATATTCATTCAGAAATCTTGAGCTATTAACAAAATAAATGTACTATTAACATTAGAGAAGTTAGAATTTTAACACTCTTTATCACCAACAGGCCAGGTTTTGACTTACCAGTTAGCTTCAGAGCAGCAGTATGGCACTGCCTATAAGATCTCGCCTGAGACCACTGAAGAGGAGCTAAATGTGATGAAGTGCTTCCAGATTAACGGAACAAAGGACGGAGCAGTCACACCGCAGGCTGCGCTCCCCGATGTGCAGGGCTTCCAGGTGTGTGTTTTATTTCTTTTTATTCCACTTTTCAGTTTTATCTTCATGAGTAAAAGTGTATATATGGAACAGTCTCCGGTTGTTAAAACAGAAGCCAGAGCAGAAAAGTCTTAAAGCTGTATACATCTATCTAATGGCCAGAAGGGGGCAATTACCCTACTGCAAGAAGAAGTCAGAGTGTACTGAGGTCACGCACACATCGGTTAAGAGTTGACCTCGACATTGGACATGATGCAACCACCGGTTGCTAGGGAAACTTCTATTCCCCAACCAGTTGGCAGTGTTTCTAGTAGATTGCCAGTGTTTGAATAGAATAGAATAGAATAGAATTCAACTTTATTGTCATTGCACATGCACAGGTACAGGGTACAGTAGATTGCCAGTGTTTGTAGATAAGCCCTTCACTTACAGTCAGACCAGTAAATGGGAATATGCTACCATTGCCAGTATTACTAACATTGGGGGAATACTAATATTTCTTTAGTGACAGGTGGTTTCCAGGAAATCACTAACCTGTCTGTAGGCCTGTGTGACTTTGGTTATAGCAGTCATTTTTGCAGCAACTGCCATCAGCCTCCAGCAATTATTCACAGCTGGTCTTGGAGTACTCATTTTCCTCCTCACGTTCGATGGTTGTCAGATGGTCACTCTCTAGACCCGTGTCACTATAGACGCATTCACTTGATCCTATGTTGTCACCATGATTGTCACACAATCGTGGTATTAAAGGTTAACAAGTTGACATCACATGGTCAGTGGTGATGTGTCAGCAAAACCGCAAAAGAAAACAGGTAAATGACTCAACTGCTTACCTGAGCTCTTACCTCAGTAAACCTTTTCTGATGAGTTTATGGGCTCACAAGTCATAAGATCTTTATTACAGTGTCATGTAGGGCTGCACGATTAATCGTTAGAAAATCGCGATCTCGA